CCCCATTGGGGGGAGATGGGCGGTTGAAAAATTAAATAAATAAATAAATAAATAATCATCACAGCGGCCCAGCAGATGTTCTGGGGGGCCCTCCCTACCCAATGGGAACTGGTTTACCCTAAACCAAGCCACTTGATGTATATCAGTGAAAGCAATAAGGATTAAGAAATACTGACATTTCACCACCCTCATCCCTAATATGAGTTCTTTCCTCTGTCCAGTCAGACTCACTTCGAGTCTTCCTCCAATAGCACTCCAGGTGTCTCTTCTGGTGCTTCATCCCTTGGAGCTCCTCGGTAAACCAAAGTGCACCCCAGATTGGCACACAGGAAAAGGCCACATAGGAGTGATATGATACAAGGCCTCAGCCACCCACCCACTCCAGGCAGCAATTAGGGACTCGGCCAAAATGCCCAACAGATACTCAGAGAAAACCCCAAGCTCTCTCTGGAACCCTATTGGGCCCATCAGTCGCCTGGGGTGGACCAATCAAACTGGCCTTGTCTCCCTGTGGAGCCAAAAAGCAACCACAGAATGATCTGTCCAATGGACTGATGTTAATGTCCTCCACTGCCAGATCACATCTCAACTGCCCCAAGACAAAAACCAGATCTAGCATGCAGCCTCCAGCATGTGTTAGGCCATCAATGACTTGGGACAGGTCCATGGTTACCATGGAGGCCACGAAGTCCTGACCCACTCCAGATTCAACATTACCAGGTACCAAACTAAAATCCCCAAGCACCAACAGCCTTGGAGATTCTATTGCCAACCCAGCAATGGAATTTAACTTCTAATTAGAAGCTTAAGAGCAATTTAAGATCACTCTTGCATTTTCCTGGCATCTTCTGGATACTATTCCAGCACTTCCTCCCTTACCTCTATCTTCCAGAGAAACCAACTTAGCTCTTTTCCCCATGGATCCAGACAGTTTCACCTCTCCATACACCTAGAGAACCACCATCTGCCTTTTCAAGTACTGACTTTCTCTTCTTTCCATGGAGACATCTTCCATCTCCAGCAATCAATCCCTTACTTCCAGTTTTCTCTTCCACATGCCCCAAACAAGGATTTTGAAACCCAAAGTCCCTTTGGTTTTGCTGAGACAGAACTCCTCCCCCCCGCCCCCAGCTTCTGCAGGCTGGGATTCCACAACTAGCCTTTAATTCTGTAGTCAAAAAGGAGAAGGCTGTGAGTCATTTCCCCCTTGAATGTAGGCATGTTCTACTTGGGAAGCAAAAAGCGGAGTCCCTATCTGGGGGTGCTTGTCTGCCTGGCCTATGTGTAGAAGAGTTAGAATGAAGCGGGGGAGGGGTTTGCCCATTCACCAGAACATTCTGAACACAGTCAAAACTTCTGTGCACTACCTAGCATCTGCCCCCACAATCATATGTCCATGTGACCTCCATATTTATGCAGACCTCCAGAAGCCACACTTGAAAAGGGGCAAGTCTGGGGGAAAAAATTATATATATTAACTGAATTTTAATTACCAATTAAAAGTAACTGTGTTTGTGTGTGTGTGTGTGTGTACATTTATACACACACACAGTGTGTGTGTATTCTATCTGCATATAGAAACCATTATTTCATTTCTTCTCACACATAAACTTCTCATAGAAATAGACATGCACAAATTTCTACTCAGTCTTTCCAGCAGAAACAGCAAAATGATAAGGAAAAACAGGATAAAGAAATTCCATTGCTTCTGAAGCAGTGAAGACAACAGGCATAATTTACTAAATTCACATCGTTTGGACAATCATATAACTGGTTTTTAATGTGATCTGCATCCATTGCAGCCAATGACATAAATGAATGCAAATTATGTAAGAATATCAATTATGCAAATAACCTAAGTTGTTGCAAATGACGTAAAAGTTAATTATGGAGATTACCCCTATTAAGATTTAACTGCCGTTTGGCTATAATGGACATCCCTTCCCCCCAGTAGTCCATTCAACTGAACTGAGCTAAACTAAAATTGGCACCTGATAGATGTATTGGCTATTGATTTTTCATTTCTGCATGCTACTATTGGTATTTTTTGTTTATTGACCCAAAGGGGATTATGGACTGTCATCCCATATTCTGCGCCCACTCTCCAAATCCCATTGCTAATGGTGTTCTGGATAAGTGAATTCTTGTTCATCCTGGGGAAAAGAGGATTCACAGTCTCTCTGTGTTTGAACATATTTCTCTATATTGTCCCTCTTAGGTGGAGCTACAATGTCTGTTATGATGGAAATTTTCAACCAGTCCTCCAGGCCAGCAGCATTCACAGTCGGAGGTTGTCTGAACTGGGCAGGCCTCTTTGTCATTGGAATAACCTTCCCATTTGCTGTGGTCAGTTTTTTCCAGCCCTCCACTTCTGTCCCCTGAATGACTTCCCTGTGGCAATGATTGTTTAAGGCACCTGGGGTTGGGCTGCAGGAGGGGGTAGACCCACCTCAACTATGTCCCCAAAGCTCTTCAGTCAGCCCGGTGCTGTCACTAAATGTGCAGGAAGCTGCTAGAAATAGCAATAATGCCCATAGTACAGGACAATAGCAAAGATATTTTTAAATGACAGTTTAAATCAGTTCAAGAAATCAAATAAAATCTTTGGTGACATGATCACAAGTGAGCATGAACATCAAAGCCTTAAAACGTTTCTGTGTACAGCAGAAGAAGTAGCAAGAAGTTCAGTGGGAGCATCTAGAGAGATCGTTCTCGCTTGAAGTTCTGCCAAACGAGCTTCTGATGTTGGTAGCATAAAACAAGCCCTTGACATTGCGAAGACCTACAGGGGCGAATGAAATCTTTCTGATAAACTCTATCTCATCTAGATGGAGTTTCCATTTCTTCACCATCAGACACCAATTCCAGGATGAACACTGGGGGTGACTGAGATGAAAAGGGGGGTTGTCTGATGCATCCAGACGATAACCAGACCGTTGCTGTTTCTTTTGTCCACTTCCAGGAAAGTCTGGGGCCTTTTTGCTTCCTTCTCTTTGCCATCGTGCTCTTTGGCTCTGGAATATTCTTCTACTTATTCCTTCCAGAGACGAAAGGCAAGTCTGCTGTGGAAATCACAGAGGAATTCAGCAGATCATCTTTGGGAAAGAAACTTGCTGTTGTTCTCAGGAAAAACCTCAATGAGGATCATTCGGTCTACTCCAGTTTCTGAGTTGCATCTTTCGAGGAAGAATTCCTGGGAGGATCTCCGTGTTTAAAACCATGTTTGGACCACACAGAGCTGCACTGCCAGTTCTAACCTAACCCCTCTGGATGCAGCCTTTTTGGCTCCTAGGAAGAACACAGACAGCCCTACAGAAATGCAGCTCTTTTTAACATAAACACAAGTGACGCAGCCATCTTACGGGCCTCATGAGGGCAACTCTTTCTTCATGGCAGTGAGGTTTCTTCCCCTTCTCCCGGAGCACCCATTAACCCCTCCCAAAATGTCACCTTGTTGCTGCTGCTTGCTGGCTTCATTTCTGCTTAAGCTCAAATGCTTTCCTTGCCCCTTTTCTCATAGTTTTTCCTTTGGCAGAAGACCAATTCAAATGTTCAAATCTCAGCTCGATACATAAAACCCAGCTACTTAATGTGTATAAAAATGGCTGCTGAAGAGTTGCTGCATGGCGTTCTTCCCTGTCCATCCCTTCTCTTTTTCCTTCTGCTTTATGACTTAAAACGTTTAGCCTGTGTTCTTCCTAGGAGCCAAAAAGGCTGCATCCAGAGGGGTTAGGTTAGAACTGGCAGTGCAGCTCTGTGTGGTCCGAAATAATGCACCTAAGGGTTTTACCAATATTTTATTTCTGAGCAACTTGGAATATGTCAACAGTAGAATAAAAATGTAAAAAAAATGCCAACTGAAAAAGGGCAGTAAACTCAATTCTGTTATGCTTCCAGGCCAAGTTCAATTCACTCGAAGAAGTGGGTGTGCAATGGAGGTCTCAGAAAGGGGGCTTCTGGTCAGTGGCCCTCCACCTCCCTGCCAAAGGCTGAGTGAGTCCCAAGTTAACACTTGGCTATTGACCCAATACTTGGGTCTTTATTCTTTCTAAACTATAGCTGTGCAGTATTGGCTAAATAAAGTAATATTTAGTTGTTTTTATCAAATCTCTACTTAGAGCAGGGAAAGCTAACCTTTACTTCAAAACTCAGGTTTTGGGCCTGGCAGGAGCCCAACTGAAGATTCCACCACAGTCTATCCAGCTTGGAGTACTATGGGCCCACTCTTTCCTGGACACAAGGCTTCTGCTAAGTTGGCCCCACATCACTAAGGCCTGTTGAGACATTCCTGGTCCACTATCAGAGGCCTGTCCCAGAGCCAGGCCTCCCCAGTCCTATACTCATGCACTTGACTTTTCCCACCCAGATGCAGGACCTTTGCTGAACATTTTGGATTTGCCCTACTGCTCCAGCCTGTCCTTCTGAATTGGGATTTTGTCTTCTGAGGTTTGGCCAAGCTCCGTAGCTTGCTCACAGGTACACCAACCCTGTAGTCTCTTGATGAAGATTTTGAACAAGGGCCTCAAAGCCCTGATGGGGTGAAGTGTCAAGCCCTCCGCCTGCATTTTCCAATATTCTTGTTCCATCACTCCACTGCCTGAATACAAACTGCCTGGTCATAACTTGGGGGTACAGCTTTCTCTTGCAGCAGGACTTTTCAGGTTGGAGGTAAGTAGAAAATGAGGGTTAAAAATGATGGATTAATCAGGGCAAGGGAAACATGGCTTCTGTGTCAGAAAGGGCATTACAGGGGATTCCTGCTCTTTTCCCGAGATTAAATTCAGAAGCAGAAATTTGAGTGGTGTTACACACGCTGCTCCCAGGTTCGGCTTATGGTCACTCACTCACACACTCACAGCCT